TCGATGAGTTTCGTGGGAAAAAGAGAGAGAGAGATCAAAGTATCTCTTGCACGGTGAGTTCGATGAAATAGCTGACGATTATTTTAGACAGCTTTTGTTTCCTTTTTCCATTTCCCTCCCTCCCTCCCTCCTTTTTTTTTAATTCTCTTACTCCCGCGAGGATTCTCCGGTCGTCGCGGCGCTCATCGGGGGATTGCGTTTTTATCGTTTAATTTCATTTGCATCTTTCCGTTCCCGCCATGGCACGCAAGTCTTATTTATAAACCGAGCGATTTCGAAACGTTTGCCTATTGTCTCGAGCATTGTTGTAGCTTGCGAACGGTCGAAGGAAGAGTATCTCAGCGCAGGGCTGTTTAAACCAAAATACCGCGAGTTCTTTCCTCCTCCAAACTGTCGTGTGACGAGAACGAAACGGACGGGACAACGGAGGGTCGCGGAGAGAGAGAGAGAGGCATGTTCGGACGAGCGAGAAAAGGGGGAAGGAGAGAATACGAGAGAAAGAAATCTGATATAAGAAAACAAAAAAAACTCAAAGTTGTAAACAGTCGACTCGCATTGTTGGCAAAATATGATTTTTATAGAAATGTATTTATATAGGTAACAGCGTCGTTGCAACGCGTATATATGTATAGAGAGAAAGAGAGAGTGTGCGCGCGCGTGCGTGTGAGTGTGAGAGGACGAGCGAGAATGAGAGAATGCGCGTACGAGAAAAAGAGAATCGAACGTTTGGTGTATCGAACGCAAAGTTTTTGTTCACTCCTGAAACGTATTAAAACTAAACTCGCTTAAAAAATGGTACGAACTGCCTTTAAATGTTTTTCTTCGACGAACGATTTCTCGTCGCGCGGGCAAACAGGACGCTCGTAAATCGCGGCGAGTTCAAAGACCTAACCAAGCATCCGTACTTTTGAACCAAGCCGCCGAACGGACACCGAGCTGACCGAATGTAAGGCGAACAACGTTGACTCCGAACAGAGTCGGGCAGAATGTGTATCTGATTATATACGAGCAAATTATCTTTTCCAATTGTTACCGATCTACAATCGACATCGAGGAGATCGCGCTGAATAATTGACATGTCGAATGCCGCACGATTTTATAGAGCAAAATATACAAAAAGGAAAGGATATGGTATTCAATCGTCAGATTGAATTGCGTTATTGTTACAGGTTCACGCTGAATATCAGGTGGCATTGTTTATAATATAGAGATGTTTTCGAATAATCGTCGCTTAATTGAAGTATAGTAATTCAATTTGGTTGGCTGGCATTCAACGTGTTAACAATTACTACTGGTAATCATGAAAGTTACATTTCTATCATTAACCTTAGTCCTTTGCATAGAGATGACTCTCAGTCATCATTTGCTTCAATATAACAAGATTACAAACTGTTATATATAATACTAACCCTTTGCACTCCGTTGGCTCTGTTATAGAGACATAATTTCAGATGTCATGTTACATTAATCTCAAATTGTAAAATTCTCCTTTCTGTTCAAATACGGGAAATCGACAGAACGAATTAAAAGCGAATCCATGTGTACTTGTAATTTTCCTTTTTTAAAGCGAAATTTTAGGTTCTTGAATGTTTCCTTATAGAAATAAACTATTAAGGCATTTGAAATGTTCGGAGTGCAAAGGGTTCAGTTCCGTACAACGCGTTAATACGTGAAATATTTATATAAAATAGTCTCTTAATTTACGTATTTTCTCATCGAAGGTTCGGTATATAATCAGATTACATTTTGCACGACTCAGGTTCTGAATCGATGGTTCGGTGAGTTTTATTTGCTAAGGTACCCCGTTAGAACGGTGTTTCTTAGAACAATCCGTTTAAGTGATTAAATGGGGCGCGCTGTGCGTACTCGTTTAGGAAAGTCGGTCGGTGCTCCGAGTATTTTTTACAAGAAATCGATTACGGAAAAGAACGAGGAAAAATAACGGGACAAGATGAAGATGACGGGAGTGACTGTCTCTCATAGTCACGCCTAACAAGTGTATTTCTAATGATCTGTATCGAACGAAGTCGTAACAAAATACACGAACAATGATTTCCAAAATAATACATTTATTAAAAGCCGCGTATGTATATATATATGTATATACATATATATATATATGTACAATCGCGCATCGCAAATGTCTTGACCAGCAAGCAACAATTGCGAGGACTCTCTATTATATTAACACGATTTGTTTCGCGCGTTTAAAATACATTATGCGTGTGGGTGTATATATATACATATTACTTGTTTATATATATTCACACACACACGCTAGCATGTGAAATACCTTAACGATTTTGGTAATCTAATTAACAAAACGGTTAAGGTATTTCGTAAGATCCAATTATACGCATTAACGGCAACGAGCAAGGTTCGTACACGCCTGTGTCCGGTGACACGTAATGTGCTTGGTTCACCTTTGTCCCGCAAAGCGGTTGATTAAACGTCAAACGCGCAACCTCGAACACAGCGAAATAAATAATGACGAAGAGAAAAACCGATTTTACCCTGTGGAAAAGTAACTAGTAAAGAAAAGCTACCAGAATCGGATGTAACGAACCTCTGACCGTTGTTCTCTCCGCGCTGAGTCAATTCTACAATGACTTCTCGCATCTTTGGCAGCACCTTACTTTCCTGCGCGTACATGCATCATATAAAATCATCACAGTCTTTCATCGAATTTTCATACTGTTCTTTGTCGTTTCCGTGCGTGTAGCAGAAGTAGCGGTACAGTCGTCGCCACGATACAAGGTCGTAAATTGAATGTTGATCTCCCAAAAATCGGTACCAAGTGACGTGGCTGGATTTCCGAGCATCGAAGAGATCATACTTCTGTCAACTCGCTTGTCCTCCGGTTTGAAACACGTTTAACACTATCTCTAACGAAGGTGTCAAAAGACTTTTCAAGCTTCAACTTAAAATTATTTTCTCAGTCTAATCATTTATCCTCAATTGAATTTTGGACATTTCCCGTTAATCTTATAATCGCTGGAAAAGTCTAAAAGTCAATTCAGAATATACGACTGACCTCGGAAGATAATTGTAAGATAAAATTTCAGGTGGAATTTGACACCTTCGGTGGATACAGTGTTGATGCCCGGTGTTACGACTTAGTTCTATCTTAGGCGACGACTGTAATCTTAGTAATAGTAATAAGTATAAGCGACCGAATGCAACGGGAACTAGTGGAAGCGTTTGGTTCCGTTAAACGGAGATAAAAATATTTCGCGAAATGGGAAACTATGAGAATCGTCGAATTGAACTCTCGGCGAGCCTGACAATAAGTCTTACCATTTTTTTTCTTTGGTCTATATAAAATACTTTAAAATGGTTTGACGTGGCGCGACATGGCAAGTAAAAACGTTGTTCAATCGTTGCTAAAGGCGTCGGCGAGATCACTGACTTCCTCCGTGATTATCGTCTTAGCTGTCTCAGGAAAGAAGGAATCCTGGCCGAGAGCGGGCACTTGCCTGGAGTACTCGCTGGTTGCCCATAAGAAAAGGTCTAGCGTTTGTTCCGTGCATTCGGCTATGAATCGAATAAACGGACGAACGTCACCCGTATTGGCTATTTCCAATTTCTCGTAATAAGTATGCCGATGCTGCTTGTGGATGATGACGGGTGGGTAACCGGCCTGCATCAGGATCGTGTTCATCAGTAACCGGGACGTTCTACCATTCCCATCTGAGAACGGATGTATTCGTACCAACTTGTAGTGTGCCAGAGCCGCATACCTAAGGCAGTGATGAACAAATGACAGTGAGAACAAGAAAAAAATGGAAGAAGAAGAAGAGTGCGTTAAGAGGTAGGGAAACGGATTCTTATGTTACTAACTATTTTGGTTCAATATCAGTTTCCTTATTGTAATTATTTTCAAGGAATTTGGAAGCTCTGGTCACCGATGACCACCGTGGCAGTCAACGTGTTAACGGTGATAAATAGCTGGTAATAGATGTACTTCCTTACCTGACAGGATGCATACGAATGGCTCTCTCGCTATTCAACCATAGCGCGAACTCCTCCATGAGATAATGTATGTCACCAGGGCCAGGAGGTACATGGCCACCAACGTAAACCTGAGTGCGACGGAACTGGCCGCCTTGGACAGGATCGACGTGTCCTAGCACGCGCTTGTGTATCTCCAATATATCCTTGATCGAAATAGAACCCACCCTGTTCACCAAGGTCGCATTGATATACTTCATAGCTGCATCCAATCCTAAAATCTCATTATGCTCGTCTATGCTCTTGCCAGCAACAGCAGTACGGGTTTCTACTATAGCCCTGGTCTGAGCTAGGTTCATCGTGTTTCCTTCAATGCCAACCGTGTGATAGATATGCTGAAAGTAAGCTTCCTTCTTGGCACGTATCAGGGCTGCATTCTTATCAGGTATCGCAGAGAGATTATCCCGTTTCTCATCTATACGTCTGAGCATCCTGCGATCCAGCTCGTCGACTATGCGCGCTGTACGCCGGCTGTTGATCAGTGCCTCCTCGTGATTCGGCTGGTAATTGAGGGCACGCACGTAATATTCGTTTGCCTTGATCACGTCGTTCTGAGCGTACTCAAGGAACTCCCCGTAATGATTCAGGATGTCAGGATGACGGGGCGCTAAGGCGACGGCGTGTTGGAACAGCTTCACCGCCTTTGCCTCTTTTCCAGATAGCTTCATCTCAAACGCCAACTGCAGAGACGTGAACGCCTCAACGGTGGATGCTGTTCCACCGCTGTTTGATATCTCACCATGCCTTCGTCGGCCATCCGACCCCGTAAGAATCGGTATTGCCACATCCACGCTACCTTCCTCCAAAGCGTTCAACGCACTCTCTGACGGCAGTGGAACAAACGCGCGACGATAATCCCTTGTCTCTGCAAAATGAAACCATTTGAGGTTAGGATCTTGTGGGGACTGCTCTTAGCGTCTTCGCGACGTCGTTACGTTGGTTTTTTTAACCCTTTACTCTCAGATGTATTTCGTTAGAAATTCTTAACATTTTCTAACTGAACATAGACGATATTATATGAAATAAACTCAAAGAGAAATCGCAAGTGAATTGTGAAACGAAGCTTTTTTATCCCAACGTTTCACACATCGATACATTATACACAGTTCAATATTAACTCTTTGCGAACGAACGCCGACATCTTGAGATGAAATGTTCATTGGAATATTAAGTTGCAAACGAATTAATCACTTGAATGACAAGAGACCAGTGTACTCTCCTTTTTTCCTATTGTTCAAGCATTCGGAGTAAAATTTAGTTTTACACCTTACCAGCTTTGTGTACTTTAAACAATTTTCATCCGCGAAAGGTTAAACATCAAATTTTACAGTTTCACTGTATCAAATCAAGTGACTGAGAGTCACCTCTCGAGTGCGAAAAGTTAACATACACTTACCAGGTATTTCAGAGGACGACGACGACAAACGGCCCACATAATAGTGCGATAGAAAAGCACTGATAGCGGCGACTGCTATTCCCGACGCGAACAACAGAAACGACCACACAACCGCACGTTTCATCGTCGCGACGACGCTGACATTCTTCCGTAGGGTTCCCTCCTTTACGCGAACGGGCTTCCCGTCGATCGCGCAAACCAGGTTCGCCCGCGATACCAGCATGTTTTCGCGGAAAACGGATAAACTTGCCAAGAGGTGTTCCTCGGCTCGACGAATTCCAACATGCTTCCGGGTACTTTGTCGACGTGGTGTCCCACGCTCGGGCAGCGTTGCAAGCCGAACTAAGAATCTAGCCACTCCACCGGATAATCCCCCGGACCATGTGGTTCGTTTCGATTGGTGCGAACGCAGCGTCGAATTCGCGACGTCGCCTGTCGCTCCTCGTTTCTCGTCCGTCGTGTACCAACCGTCGCCGGCAGATGTCGCCGCGAGGACGCGAAACGACGCAGCCGCAGCGCTGCCGCGACATTCTCGTCTTCTCGGAAAACAGCGTCGATCCCCTCGCTCTCTTCTTACATTTATAATTTCGCGAAGCGGAGCATGGTTGCAGAATCCGAGAAGCACGGCGAACTACCGCGAAACGGTGCGACGGCCGGCTGAAACAAGACAAAATCGGATGACACAGGAGACGAGACGGGACGGGACGGGACAGGATGGGATAGGACAGGACAGCGCGGGACGGGACAAGATGAAACGAAACAAGGCGAAAGGATGCATGTGCAAGTCGTTTGCGATTCAGCGAGAATGAGGTAGGCGGGGGTAGAACGAGAGGTAAGCCAACGCGACGCGAGCGAATAATAGTCGAAACGACCCTGAAACCGAGGTCATCGTTGTCCGTTGGCCCGAACAACGCTCGAGCGGCAACGTTCCTCCTTGGGCTTGACGCGTTTCGCGCCACGCTCAGACGCGAACGCGCGCCGCTCGTTTCGTTTTCGGTTTAGGTTACTGTTCGCCGCGAATGTCGAATAATTCTTTTGGAATAGGTCGTGTGGTTTAGAGAAGGGTTACGTCAAGTGTCATGTCAGTCATAAATGACTGACGCTTCTGAGTTGACAGTATTAATGTGCGTGACTGATGTCGAATGATTAACACGTTGAATGCCAGGGTAATCGGTGACCCAATCGAATTACTATAGATCAAATTATTTGAAAATATTTCTATTGTAAATAATGTCACCTAATACGCTGACATTTAACTAGTTGAACGCATAATAATAATGCAATTCAATCGGGTAATTCAATATTATATTTTCTCCATTTTGTGTATTTTGTGTAATGCAAGAATTGGAACGCCAAAGAATTGTCCCTACTCTTCTTTGCTAAAAAGGATAATTGTACAGAAAAATGGTCAGGATTTTTGGCGCTTGACTTGTTGACAGAATTTTACATTTATTCTCTCCGAAGAGTCATGCTGCGACATTTAAACCACTTGTACGCATTCAGCTAGAGTCGCGAGGTCCCAGGAAGCATTGCTCATCGGTAAATCTTGCGATTCACTTTTATCGACTCGCTACTTCCGCTTTGGTATGCAGGAGGGCGCTGGACACGCGTTACCGTCGTTCACGTGATGCTTTCAAAAATTCGACAGATCACGAGAAACTATTGGCCAGTGCACACTGCGTACTGGCAACGAGAAATTTCATTTTTATATAAAGACACTTAACTATGCAATTTTGCTAATTACTGTAGTACTTAGAAAAATGTGTAATTTGATTCAAATTGATTAATTTAAAATACATTGCATAACAATATATCTGAGTTTTTGTATGTATAGCAATATAACTTGATCTCACTGAGAATTTCTATCAACAATTCAGTCTCACAGTATTTAGAAAAATGTGAAATTTGATGCAAATTGATTAATTTAAAATACATTGCATAACAATATATCTGAGTTTTTGTATGTATAGCAATATAAGTTGATACTGAAAATTTCCATCAACAATTCAGTACGCAACATGTTAAGCTGCATTTTCTCGTGCAAAATATAGAAATGCATCTGTTGGGATTTCGAATGATTCATATTACAATTTGCGCGTTACTGAATGTATTCATTTAATCATTTCTGAGAAGAGCATTTATATCTTTTCGCTGTAGAAGGATCTTATCTGCTAGGTATAGCGTTACGGCCGCCATGACAGTTCATTAGTCTGGAGAGCAAGATTCAAGAAATTTGCAGAAATACGAGGAATCAATAATTTTATTATTGTTATTGATGAAGGTTTTATTGAATTTTTATTGGGACGCAACTAATGACAGGACGGTCCGTGTTCGTTCTACGCTGCACGTCACGGCATCGGAAAACGTTTGCCTCTTCCCTTTCAAACTGTTCGCAGCACTAGCCGGTTCTGCTCTAATTGCACTTCCCGTGTACTTGGATCCCTTCGTTCCGTGTTCGTTGGTCCGTCACGGATTTGTCTCTCGAATTTCATTAAACACTGAACCTCGATCTCGTGTTATGGAAAAATTGATTGAACATGAATTTCAACGAATTAACATTGAAGATCTATAATGATCTATAATATCTATGTATGTCGTCATGGATTTGTCTCTCGAATTTCATTAAACACTTCGATCTCGTGTTCTGGAAAAATTGATTGAACATGAATTTCAACGAATTAACATTGAAGATCTATAATGATCTATAATATGTATGTATGTCGTCATGGATTTGTCTCTCGAATTTCATTAAACACTTCGATCTCATGTTATGGAAAAATTGATCGAATATGAATTTTAACGAAATGATCTACGATCGTTGGAATTCATGTTCGATGAATTTTTTCATGAAAATCATAAGATCGAAGTTCAGTGTTTAATGAAATTCGAGAGACAAATCCGTGGCGATGTATAGCCGGTACTAAGGTGTGACCTGACTATAAAGAACACACGATCTACGATATAAAGATGTATCCATGGTACAACTAGAGGCAAGTACAGCTTAGGAGAAAAGTAAGATGGAGGATAAGCTTAGGAGAAAACAACAATAGAATATAAGGAATAGGGAAATAAAAAAAAGAATAGGAAAGTACAGCTAAAGGCAAGTAGAGCTTAGGAGGAAAGTTATATAGAGAATAAGCTTAGGAGAAAACAATAATAGAATATAAGGAATAGGAAAATAGACAAAATAGGAAAGTACAATTAAAAATAAAAATAGGGAATAGGGAAATAGAAAAAATAGGGAAGTACGACTAGAGGCGAGTAAGGCTTAGTAGAAAATTGAGATAGAGGATAAGCTTATGAAAAAATAACAATAGGATATAGAGAATAGGAAAATAGACAAAATAGGAAAGTACAATTAAAAATAAAAATAGGGAAGTACAACTAGAGGCGAGTAGAGCTTGGTAGAAAATTGAGATAGAGGATAAGCTTATGAAAAAATAACAATAGGATATAGAGAGCAGGTACATAGAAAAAATAGGAAAGTGCAACCAAAGGGAAGTGCAGCTTGGTATAAAATTGAGACAGAGGATAAGCTTATGAGAAAGCAAGCTGGAGCAGAGAATTTTCGCGGTTAGCTGCCGGGGTGAGGCTTTCCCGATGCGTGCTTCTGTATACACGGGTCTCCCGTCGATACGACGGAAATACTCATGCGTTCTCGGTGATTTTCTTAGCCGGTAGTTGGCAACGAGTCGCGTGTTCGTCGCGTATCAAGGTCTTCGGTCCGCGGCGTACGCTCCTACAGTTTGGACGTTGACGTTTCGCGCGCAACAGCTTCGCCCGCCGTTCACCGTCGCTTTTCGCTTTCTCGGGGACCGAACGGAGAGTCACGGAGCATTCGCGCGAGCGAGGTTGCGGGGTCCATGCGTCGGGTCAACGTTCTCGATCGTTCAGCCGGGTCACGTTCGGGATAAATGCGAGGAAAAGAGAAAGGTCGAGACGACCGTGACAAGACGGGACGGGATGCGAGCGGCGACACATTCGAATAGCGCAATATCGGTCGCGCGAACGGGAAAGATGTAGATTTTACTCGGTCCATTTTTCCTTGTAGCAACAATTAGGCTAAACGTCTTTCGAAATGAGAAATCGGATGGAGTCAGGTCCGGGTTAGTCGGTTAGCTAGTCGCACAGCGGAAACTTGGAAAGACGATAAACTGGAAGCGGTTCGAATCGCTTTAAACCTATGACAAAAGACTCGAATCGTTCCAAGAACGATTCCACCATCTTAGAAGTTTCTCGAAGGTTCGAAATCTTCAGAATCTTCGATCCCTAGGTCCCGAAGATCTCGATCGATCAAAACTCTCGGAAGCCGCTAAGAGCGTTGGTCACCTTCGAGTCTCCTCGGTGGTACCGATACATTGTACCAAACCGGACTAGTCCTCTTTATTTTCTTTTAGCTCCATGAAACTCGATAGCAGCAAGATCGTCCAAGAATCCGCTGAAAACTTCAAGGATTCGACGAGTCGAATCGGAGCATCGAAAATGAGGAAAGACGAATGACTCACTCGGTCGACTGTCTACGAGCTGAGAGTGCTTGGAACCGTAAGTAGTTACAACAATGGTACCTAAGTTCTGAAGGATTCTTGTTATTAGACTAGTCGCTGGAAAGAACGCAAGAAGCGAGATGCGACGAGGGAATACCAGCTGATCCCGACTGTGGAAGCGACGAAGTGGAGCAAGAACCATTCCCGCCCCTACGGAGTTTTGGCTCGCGAGTAGCCGAGCGACGCGTGAAAGGCCTGCGATACATATTTCACGGGGAAACTCGGAGCGATTTCGAAGCCGAGAATCGAACGTCCGCGGCTAGGGAGAGGCGAGCGAGGCGAGTCGTTCGGTTTTCGTAGGAGCAGAGGGCAACGAACGACTGCGCGTGGGCAGCGCGATGTGTACGAGGAAACCGCGCGATTCCTCCTCGGCTGCGACCTGTCGGGATGTCCCGTGGCGGCGAGCGGGAGAAGCGAGAGCGTTCCCCTCGCGATCAGTGGTACGCAGACTCGCGCGGCGTCGAGCGGAACAAGTCGCGAGGCGTGCAACGCGCAGGACGTACTCTGACCTACTCGCGTCGGAACTCGGGATCGCCGCCACCTCCGCGCCAGAAGTGGGAACGACCAGCGGTTTCTGCGCACTTTGGGAGAACCCAGTGACTCTCAACAGTTCGAACGAGCCGGCCTTACAATTAGCTCGGCGGTCCGCCGGCGGTGACGGGTAGACCGAGCCCTGCGCACTCATGACGAATCGGTTGACTCCGCAGTTGGAACGGCGGACTGTTTTCAAGCTTCGTCGAAACAGTCGAGTCTTTACTTTTTACGTTCAACAGACGCATCCGATTCAGACTTCTCTTGGCACAAAGAGATGATAGTAAACACTAGGATACACTGTTTCGTATGTTCATCGGATTGGCGTTAACCCTTTGAAGGCTCTCAGTCATTTGACTTTGGTAAAACTAAAATCTGATAACCCTTAGCAC